AACACAGTTGGTAGTATGGGTACACTGCTGGTCCCACATCAGTAAGGTGTGGGTGCCTTAACGTGCCCATTGGTTCCAACATCGGGTGACTGTGACATCTCCATGCCCCACATGCTGGGAAATTGCACAATACGACCATCCGGCCTCAGGCAAAACCACAATGTGACCCCTATCAAACTCTGTCAAGTGCTGGTAATGCTGTCTGATGCGTCTACGAGGCGTCCTCTGTGTCTGGCGACTAAACTTGCCAGCTCCTTGTGAATCATACCATTGACATAACCATCGCTGGTCTGCACGTGTACCAAATTACACCCAAATCAGACCATTACTTCTGGGTGCTTAACTCTTTTGTCACTGAGTATTTGTACATGAGCTGCATCAGGTATATCCTGTCTTGCATCAGGGCAACACAACAAACACATTAAACAGCCTGTTTTCTAAACCACGAGCTCCCTTTCTAAGATGCAGTTTTTCAATTCTGCCACCAGAGGGAAATGTTGAGCTCATGAGGCTATTTTAAATACTGTATATAATTAACAATATACATGTTAGCGCAGTATAAAAGTACACAGCTATATGTAGATTGATTTTTCTCCAAATAAATGAATTAAATAGTAAGTATTTAAAAGGTCATAACAGGTGTGACACTTTTTTTTTTTTTTAAACAGCTGTTTCAGATTTTGTATAGACCACAATTAAACCACAATTTATGAATGTTTATATACCACAGAATGCATACTAAGTACGATACCCTCTGATGAATAAATTAGGCAGATTTAAATAAAGAGAAATCCTACACTGTGCTGAGTGACAATCCATACCTTCTTGTTTGGACTTGTTGGCCTAAACAGGTTCAGGTGTGACAGCTCAGACACTCATTACCGTCTCTGTGACAGGAGAGGACATGGTTTGACCTGGCTGTTAGTTTTACAGGATCATACGTTTTCAGTTTAGTTCTTTGACATTCGATTTCCGCCAAAATGGACGAACCAGCTCATTCTCGCATGGAATTAAGCCGTAACTGGAACTCCGGGCTTGTGGCGTCTGTCATCATCACCCCGGCTCTGTCTGCACGCTCACTCGGTGTCCAGTGGCGCCCCCTTTCTGAGGAGTGCCCACGGTGCGCGTGGGAGAAGCTGCCCTGTGATTTTCTTGTGCCTTAAGGGACAGGCTCCACGCTCCGCAGAATCTGTACTGGATAAACCATTTGTGAAAGATTGATGAGTGGATTATTGGAATCTCAAAATCCTATATAAACGGCATCTGTGTTTCCTATTAGACATTCAACATACACTCACAGGCCTATTTATTAGGTACCCCTCACTAGTACCGGGTTAGACCACCTTTTGCCTTCAGAACTGCCTTAATTCTTCGTGGCACAGATTCAGCAAGGCGTTTGAAACATTTCTCAGAGACTTTGGTCCATGTTGGTGTGATAGCTGTCGACTGCACCATCATGATGCAAATCTCCAGTTCCACCACATCCCACAGGTGCTCTGTTGGACTGAGATCTGGTGACCGTGGAGGTCATCTGAGTAAGTGAACTCATTGAGGTATGAATTTTACGACATGGTGTGTTTATCTTGCTGGCAGCAGCCATTAGAAGCAGAACCCGAGACCCATCTGACCAGACAATATTTCTCCAATCTTCCATTGTCCAATTTTGCTGAGCCTGTGTCCACTGTTTCCTGTTCTTGGCCGACAGGAGTGGCACCCGGTGTGGTCTTCAGCTGCTGTAGCCCATCTGCTTCAAGGTTCGACATGTTGTGTACTCAGAGATGCTCTTCTGCATGTCATATACTGTAGTCTAATAACGCTGATATCGATAACGAGTTCACCCCTGGGGGGGGATGGGCAGGCGCAGATTAGCAGAATGTATTTACTTAATTTCTTTTTTTTTCTGTGGAAAACAAAAGATTGATCTGCTGCCCAGATATAACGAATTCTAAGCACGTTGTGGACCATATAAAGCCGTCCCATGGGCCGGTAATTTGGGACTGAACAAATCCCTCGTCCCCCGCTACAGAAAATGGCTGATGGTCCAATGCAGTCATCACCATTATTGTAGCAGGTGTCTCTTCAACTCCAGTGCTGGTAACAATTTTAATATTGCCCGGCAATATCAGCCATGATGGACACATCATGCCGATATTTACTTTTAATGAATGTTGTCTGATACCGATACGTTAACCAATATATTGTACATCTCTATGTATAATGTACGCAGAAGTAAATCATTTCAAAACCTTACTGGTAAAGTTTGAAGTGAGCAACACACACTGTTGAACTTTAGAGGCACCTGAAACTTGGACCCTCGTGACGCCACCCCGTTCACTAAACATCTACACCTCGCTGCACAGTTTGAGTTGAACACTCATAGGTAACTGGTCTCTCTACACAGCTGCCTAAAAACAATGTACATATTTACCACGTACAGCTTTATTTGAAGTTGCAGCAGTGATTTAAATAACAGAAATCCAAGTGTGAGAATATCAGCATGAATGATTTCGATTTTGTACCTTCGACCTTTTAAATGGTACATCAAAATAGCCGGAACTTCAGTATTTTTGTGAAAATATGCATAAGATGAAATTATACTTTGATGGACATGTGATATGAATAGGGACACTCAAACTTGCATATATACAGTAAATCGCTGTTTTACCATGTTCATTTTGTACCGAATGGCTGCTTCTGCTACCTATAAACTGCTCAGGCTGAATTTTAAGCACAGCGTCACCCTAAGATATTATTATAATACTTAAGAAAACAACATATGCATTCCGAACTTTTGGCCATGGTGCGAGGCGGCAGAAAAAGCAGCTGAATATATCTGATTGTGATTGTGATTGTGATCGTGATCGTGATCTTGTATCACGCGCAGTAGTGGTTCATGTGAGGTTATCGAGCCCTTTAACAGGCCTTGTGAACAGCAAGCAGTTTCTTGACTCATTTACAAAAAAAAGTGTCATTTCCACAGAGGAACAGAATTTCTGGAATATTCCATCAAGCAAGCTGCCCGAGTTCAGTTATCCGTCAGTATTCAAAGTGTGTTTTGTTGTTCAGACTGTGGGAGGCTGAGGGGGGAGGGGGGCATCTGGTCAGAACTTGGTCAGAACTTGGGGTGTTTCTCAATGCCAAGAACGCAAAGATCGTACCCGTGGTCTTGGCAGGAGCCGTCTTGCCAACTTGCCTCCCAAGAAGAAACTTGGGGCGCAATGAATCGTGGGATTTGTCTTGTTTGGCGAGGATGCAACCGGTGTGTTATTGATATTTGGAGTGAGGCAAGAACAACATCCGGGGATTTTTACCCACCTCTGCACTTCTGTTTTTGAGTATTGGAACTGGTCTTTGGCGATGGAAGATGATGTAAAAACAGGTACATGAGAACAGGATGTGGACGAGTACTCATATTGAGAAACACCCCGGGTCGGAACTGGTCAGAATTTGGTCAGAACTTGCTGAGGCTTGGGAGTGCCCCTGCTTTAACCAGGACGGCAGACAGAAGTTCAGCAGGACCAGAGGGGTGGAGCAGGGTGGGAGATGAGGGCCCAGGGTGTGGAAGGCTGGAACTCAGGGGTGTTGAGATTTTGCTTTTGGTCAGTCCCGAGACAGCAGCCCCAGGTCCACCTGCACTGGACTTGCTGTTCTCGCCAGTGGGGATGATGGCGACCAGGTTGGGGGGGCCCTCGATGGGAGGCGTGGCCTCCAGCTGAGCCTGGCTGCAGCACAGCACGCGGAAGAACGCAGTCCTCAGCTCGCGGCTGGTCAGCGTGTAGATGAGCGGGTTCAGGGCAGAGTTGAGCACGGCCAGGGCGATGAACCAGTCCTCCTGGTAGAGCACCGGGCAGCGCTCGGGGCTGCAGCCCACGTCCAGGAGCAGCAGCAGGAAGAGGGGCGCCCAGCACACCACGAAGACGCCCAGGACGATGACCACGGTGCGCAGCAGCACCAGCGAGCACTCCGAGGGCCGGCTCCCACCGAGCCGCCGCCCGCTTGACGTCACCAGCCGGTAGATGCGGGTGTATAGCACCACGATAGCGGCCAGCAGGGCGCTGAAGATGCTGATGCAGAACGCCACGTAACTTTTGTCGTAGAGTGGCAGCACGGTGGAGCACGCCTCTAGGTGGCCCTGGCAGTTCCAGCCCAGGCTGGGAAGGGCGCCGAGCAGCACCGACACGGCCCAGCAAGCCCCCAGAAGGCCCAGCAGGCGACCCCGCCCAGCCGTCTCCGAGGGCCGCCGGCGCACCATGGTCATGTGACGCTCAATGCCAATGGCCAGTAGGCTGAAGGTGGAGGCGCTCAGCGCCACGAACATGCTGCCCTCCCGCGCCAACCACTGCGTCGGCGTCAGGAAGAAGGTCCGGCGGCCCGACGTGAAGATGTTGACGGCGTAGGCCACACCCGCCAGCAGGTCCGACAGGGCCAGATTGCCGATGAGCAGGTACATGCGGCTGTGGAAGCGCTTGTGACGGCACAGCGCCAGCAGAACCGTCACATTCTCCAGCACGATCAACACGCAGATGATCAGCACCAGCGTGGTCTTGCAGGTGCCTGTCCCACGTGGTCGTTCCCACTTCCCCGAGTGGTTATAGTGGTTGACGATCACCAGGTTCATCCCCTCTTCAATGGTGGCCTCCATGCCGAATCACTTGTTCAAACACGAGAGGGCGCCACTGAGCGTGTGCCCAATACGGGGCAAACTCCTCTGCCCGACACGGGTGGCATCTTTCGGTATTGGATCCGAGCCTGTCAGCAGAATTCAAACACAAAGATACTTAAGCATATGTGTGGATACGGTTTTATATATGATATATACACTGTAAATAACAAAAGGTCTTTTCATAAAGGGTTAAGAGGTAAAAGTATCACGATCGGTAAATATGCAGCAAGTTCTCAAGTTTCTTCTGAACCATATGAACGAAACTTACTTACGTTACCTATTAATATATTTTATAGTCTATTCATCCTTCAATTACGGCGTCCGAGTCACTTCAACCTCTCCATCTACTCTAACACACATTCAGATGTTAAAGTTAAAGACTGTTGTCGCACTATCACGCTGTAAACACAGCAAGACAAAATTTTGATTCAATAATTCGCGCTTCATTATTTAAGGTTTATGCCTAATAATCGTTACATTTGAATTTGCCAAAGTAAAACCAAAACACTAAAAAAAGTTATTTTTAAAGCTAGTACGGTATTAGTCAAGCATGTTGCGAGAACCCCATGCCTTAAGTAAAATGTAATACGCACGTAATGAAGCATTTATCAATGCATATTTGCATTGATTCCTCTAAACTTACAATCATGATTTATGGCTCATAAATTTCCAATTAGACTGCGTCAAAAATAATTATGCACCATCACCCCACCCTTGGGTTTAATAATTACAGTTTACCTTAACGAATTTATTAACCAGGTGACATGCATACCTGTTTTGTCGTAATTGCCGGTACGCCACTACATCTGGCTGAACATCCCGGCCCGATCGCCCGCTGGTCCCCCGTTTTCACTGGTCTCCGGCAGGCTGCATCGTTCCTGAACACATCACTCTCTGACCTTCCATGCGATTAGAAATCAGTTTAAGCTCGATCAGTTTCGCTTTCGTTAAAGCGGACCCCAGCTCGCGTTCCCTTCCCAGCTCCTGCGCAAACTTTTGCCGGTGCGCCGTGTGTATGTGCGTGTCTTCTCGGTCTCTCCCATAATAAGGCAGCTGCCTGCAGCTCTCCAAATGCCCCTCGGCCAATCGGGGGTAACGCACGCAGTTCAGGGCGGGTGTTTCGAGTTTCAAAGGAGCCGTTTCTGGCAAGTTGTTACAGCTTCAGCTTGGCGCATCACGGAGAACGGGCGGCACTACTTATATACACAACGGCGGTGGACGTCATTGGCTGATTTTATTCATCTTGCATGCATATGAAGCTGCGGCAACTTACGGTTTCGTAGATGGATAAAGGGACTGTGTTACAGGGCTCGAAGCTCAAAATTGAAATACACAAAACAAGCCCTAAACGTAACCAAGCAGAGCACTTTTATTAATATGCGCTGTTGTATGTATTTTTATTTGTCTTAGACATATACACAAGCATTTAAATTTCAATAGATTAACTACACCTTTGTTAGTAAAATGTCCTTTAGTAAAACCTCCGGTAACGCTTTACTTGAGGGGGCGCAAATAATGTAGTTGTGCACTCCTACTTAATGTATGAATTAACCAGAAACTCAGTGTTAATTACCTACCGATTCCATGTTCGGTCATCATTAATCAGTCATAACGTTCGTGTATTTCCTGCAGTTACTATATTTGTGCATGATTTGTACTTGAGTAGTAACTGAGTTACTAAGTTACTTGTGCCTCCTCAAGTTAAGTGTCACCAGATCTGCTTTTTTCCACCCTCTTTTGTTTTCCTTGTTCAGCAGATGTTTCCTGCTGTTCTTCCAGAAGTCTGACAGACCTGTCTTCTCGCATACTGTCCTAAATGCACCACAGGAGCTGAAGAGAGAGATGACCGATCTGGCAGATTTAAACGTCATCTTTGCTGCGGTTTTGTGGGCCCAGAGTCACAGATCCAGTCTCTTCCACTCCAGCTGCATTCCCATATGCTATCTCAGAACCAGCCGTCCATTCCGAGAGTATTCCCATGCTAAGTGGGAACATTCTGCGAGCAATGGATAGACAGGCACCCTGGGGTGACGGGGTCAGGGAAAATAAACAAGCAGAAATGTTATCTGGCGGAGCAGTTACACATCTACAAGAACCGCCCTCGTTTCACGATACCTCCTGCCCTCCGACTCCTCTGAGTGAAGCCATTACTTCTCCCTGGAGGAGAGAGAGGGCAATGCGCAGACAGGGCCGGACGGCCTGAACATCGCAGCCTCTCTCTCAAAGAAAACAGCGTAAAAAAAGTCATTTAGAAAGGCAGAGCGAATCTCGTTGCTGTTAGCATTAGCGTGTCCCGGCCTTTTCTTTTTGAGAAAAGCAGGAGGGATCATTTGAGCTGCTCCGGACTCCACACGGTCAGAGGAGCATGGGCTGGAAACAGACCGAGACGGGCCAAGACCGCTGGGAAAACAGGCCCGTTAATTTATTTGTGTGTGTGTGAGAGACAGAGACAGAGTGTGTGTGTGTGTGTGTGTGTGTGACAGAGTGAGAGAGAGACAGAGTGTGTGTGTGTGAGTACGCGCACGTCACGGCTGGCTAGCGCTGTGCTGACGGAGCCGGCGGGCGAGGCAGCTGGTTTGGAATCCACAGTTTAGTGGGATTTGGGGTGGGAAAGCGGTGAGAGGCAGCGGGGAGGGGGCAAGGGGGGACTCTGGGGCCTTCACCTCACTGCCCCCGCCCCCCCCCAGCCATCCTCATCCCTAACCCACACATTCCCTGCATATCTCCCCCCATATACAAGCTTGTTTGCTCCACGTCTCATTAAACAAATGCGCTACATGCATTGCCCAGTAATTGCATCCGCCGGCAGCGTAGCAAGCTTTTCCTAAGGAAGGGGCCGCGCATGGTTACTGCTGTCAGATCGCGCAGCCGTGCATGTGAAGCTGCGGCCTCGTGCCTCTGGGGTCCTGCTCTGTGTGCGCAGTCTGCTTGCTTTTCCTGCGTCCAAGTGAGGTTGCTCTGGATTTTTCCCACAGTTGAATAAGTGTCCCTAAATCGCCCCTGGTGTGTGTGTGTGTGTGTGTGCGCGTGCGAGCGGGTATGCCTATCCTTATGGGGACACAATGTCCCCATAACGTGATAAATATCTGTTTTTTTTCCCTTATGGGGACCGGTTTCCTGGTCCCCATAAGGGGAAACTCTATTTTAGAAAAATCTGTGACTGCTACGAAAAAACTAAAAATGCAAAAATTCTTGTATTTTGTTTGGTTACTTATGGTTATGGTTAGGGCTGGGTGGGGGTTAAGGTTGTCATTAGCATTTTTCCCATAGAAGTGAATGAGCGGGCCCCATAAGGATAGGTATACCCGACACGTGCGTGTGTGTGTGTGTGTGTGTGTGTGTTCTGTGATGGACAGACAGCCTGTCCCATGCACTACTGAGACAGTCTGGTACTGGACCACTGGCTAAGGAAATTACATGGATAGTGGTTGTAGCTGGTGGGAGCAGACGGCAAACTTCACATTATAAATATATAATATTATGGCATTTAGGTGCATCAATTGATTTAAAGGCATCTGTTGTCTCCAGAAAGATGCTGTAGCTAAATTGGTAGCATGCAGCGGGGAAAAAAACGATGTAATTAAATATACAAATGCCGAGATGCTAACAGAGGAGCATATCTAGGGAGTCCCATCATACCGACTGTGCCTGCCGGCAGAAGCGGGGGCCCACGGCGCGGCCGGCGCGGTGCAGCGAGCGGCGGGACCTTCTGAGTGTGGGGTGTGGTGCTGGAGCACCGGGCCGCGAGCGAGGGGTGCGAATTGGAAGGCGAACGCCCGCTGCCGATGGCACTCGCCGGCACGTTCGGGGAGTGTCACTGGCAGCTGAGCGGGAGACGGGATTTGGCACACTGGCAAACTGGGGGGGGAAAAATGTGGGCATTTCTTCGGTTAGAGGTGTGGGATAGGAGAGTCTGTTGCGGCGTTTTCCTGCCTAGGCTGACTGTGTCACTGTGCCAGAAGTCAGCCATGATGCAGGAATGTAGGGAAAACCCGAAAGATAAGATTCCAAGGAGAGACGAGCAGGATCTCCGTCAGCCAGAGTCACTGCTGACATGGTGCTTGTGTCCCGGAGGGTGAATCCAACACACAAACTGAGCAAAGATCCTGAATTTCTTCCATAAAACGTCCCGTGTACAAATGTTTAAGATTACCAAAATATGTTCAGCAATGATGCAACTGAGAATCTATTATGTCAAAGTAAAACAATAAAATGGTATATTCCAACAAATATTAAGAATAATTTTTAAGAATATTGTTAAAATATTACAGATTTATAAATGTTACAGCTCTGTAGTGTAGATGGTGTTCAGGGCCTCCAGACCAACCTGCAGCCTCCTTAACCCACACATGCACATGTATGAATACTTATTAATTCCTACATCGTTGCACTACCTCCACTACCACCATAGATATTTATGATTATTTAGTATCAAATGTGTCATATCTTGTCTCTGTCATGTCTATTAAACTTATGTCCTTTTTTTTTTACGTTCCCTTCACAGACTGGAGCTTAGAGCAACCACACATTTGCATATTGCCCTCAGTATAACTGTGCATGAGACAAATAATTATTGAAACTTGAAATTTACTCTCTAGTTTAATTGCACAATGTGGAAATCATATATAAAGGTCATCCTCTATAATGAGAAGATGATTCTGGTAAAAAAAAAGGGTCCCCCCCCCCCAAATAAGGCATGTGGGCCATAAGTGGGACAGTTCCCTAACTGCCCGTCACACGGCTCATTAAAAGTGTGTCGGAGCAGGGGGGTGGTCTCTCACTCAAGCAATCAGCTCATTACATGCAGGCTGAGCTCAGACTAAAGTGTCTGTTTCTGACATTCGTCTGGATCGCAGGCAAACATGAGGACGGCAAAATGAATGACGACGAGCGGCCTTACAAAAGGAGACGGGGGCACCGGGAAAACTTAAAATAAAGAGCATCTGTATTGATGGGGCTCTAAGGCTGGAGAGACAAAGGTCAATTCAGATGGGGGGGGGGGCACAGACACCCCATTATCTAAGAGAAACAGAGACAAATTTCATCATACAGTGTGGAAACTATGAACATGTAATTAACACTTACGGACCAAAATGGAAAAAAATCCTTCTCTGCACAAGAAATGAGGGAATGCGCTTCATTACCAGAGGAACACTGTACTGTCGGGCCACAAATTTAACCTACCATACCCAGTTTTCACATTTAAAAATGTATTCTCCTTTTGCTCAGATTTTACTGTACATCTCCTTGCCCTTGTTAACAAATAGCTGAATGTTTTTCTCTGCATTTTATAATGCGTGTATGAGTATATATGGATTCCCAATGAAATGATATTATTGGTGTCTAATCATTTTACTTTGTCAGTAACTGTTCCGTTTGGTCAATAGGGTGACAAGCATCTCCCATGTCATATGGTTTGTGGCTGCAGCTATGCGTTGAGTCCAGTGACGGTCTGGCTTCCTCCCACAGTCCAGTGCTGCTCAGATGACCCCAAATCCCCCCCCCCTCCCGCCCCCTTAATTTCCAGGAATAGGTTAGGCCCTGACTGGGTGAGTCATTTTTGAAAATTAATGGGTGCTTATAACTATAATCCAACCACTAATGTACCACAGAAGGTTATTCCAAATATTCCAAGTTAGAAACCGCTCAAAGCACACAAATGAGACTTTAAGGTTTTAGGGAAATTTCTGGAAAGATTTGATATTGGCTATATACACTACCGGTTAAAAGTTTTTGTACACACTGACATTTTCTACATTTGCATGTAGAAAGTACTTAATATTTACTAAAAATACACTCAATATTCTTTGCTAACAAATAAATTTACAGCATGTTCACCATCTGAGTGCCTTTAGCAAGAAAATATCTTTGATTCATCAAAGTAACCTCCTCTAGCAATTAAAACAGCAGAGAAATTTCAAGACATTCTTTCTACATTAAATACCACCTTATTTCATAGGATGAAACAGTTAACAAGTGCATTTAAAGTGAAATGACAGCCTAGAATTTGACTCGTCACCACACAACCAATTAATAGGATGTCAGACATGCACTGTTACATACTCTTTCCATGTTTAAAGGAAACTTGTTTTATTTGACTTACATTTTCATTTACAGTTGTTCACTCAACTTTCCAATACTTAACAAGACAAGGTTATGAAAT